CAACAGAAGAAGTGACACGACCCCTTTGATGCATCCAGCTCAGATATGCGGCCCAGTTCTCTCCGTCGAATCCGCACGTAAGTTTCGTCCCATGGCTCCTTTGAAGCGGGAGACGCGCCAATGGCTTCTTGCAACCGCTCTGGGCACCAAGATATGCTACAACAACTCAGCCTCAATGTAGGTTCGCGCTCCGATCCAGCCAGCACTTGCCAACGTGTCTCTCTATGATAAACTTCCCCCATCCCGTTTCTTTTTATGCTTGTTGGTGGAACAATGAGGTAGTCAGAAAAGAAACAACCATGGCAAAAACAAAAACACCCGGCCTGAGGTTTTGTCTCCCAATCATGGACCCCAAACGTTTGGCTTCCCAAATCAAACTGAAGAAAGGGGGTTCACAAATCAACAAAAGCACCAACGAATGAATGCCCGAGACACTACCCCGAGAAATCGCCGCCGGACCCAACCTGCAAAACCGAGAGGAAACCATCAACAATCAGATACCTTTTGGGTGGCCAACAAGACCGATGGACAAAGATCAGCCACACAAGGGCGTCCTTACCCATGTAAAGGAAATGTAAACCCCATGTCCAGGCCCATACGTAGCCCACGAACTTCGCATAGGTCTTTGTAGGTCCTGTAACTTGCTCCTTGGTGGGAAAAACCGCGCCTGCGTATACTTCTTGGCATTTTTTCAAGTGAGCCAAGCCCCAACGGAAAGAAGGAGACCATTTGTGGCAGCCTGGTTCAACTGCCGGGGTAGCTTTATGGCCACATCCACGAATGTGACGAAGGCAGCAAACAACAGCGAGACAGCATCCGACATCCTGCCACGAACATATGCTTAGGTGCCTGAACGTACCTTCGTATGAAGAATTTGGCTTTGAGTAGGCAAGCGCGCTGAATCCGACCTTGTCGATGCTACACTCGACGGCCAGTCGCTCGGTGAAAGGGAATAGACAAGCCACGGGACACTTGAAGCCTCGATGGACAAATGCCCAGCCGTGAGCCTTTCATGACTTCATCAGTTAGTTAAACAACCTCACCAAAGGAACTCAACACATGTTGCAAATTATAAGTGATAGAGGGGATACAGCTTCAAGCTTAACAGGGCTTCCATTAGTCTTCCATCTTACCAAAACTAAAGCTCACAAGCTGATTTGCCTCGAACACCCCCCACCTAAGCAATTTGCTTGGCTAGACTAGGCTGCAACCACACAGGCGCCAAAAGGTCAATCTGCCGACTGCCGCGGGGCCTCAAGCATGGCACTGGCTGATGCGATGGCGAAGAAACTCAGCCGAACCAAAACGCCAAGAAGGCAACGTTGACCCCGAACCAATACCAGCCTTGGCTGGCAGCGTCGCCATGCTTCCTGCTTGGTGGGGTTCCTCGCGGCTCAAAGGTTGCCAAGCGTTTCATCCTCCCGGGTCTTGCGGCGGTTCATCCTTCTCCTGGGTCTTGCGGCGGTTCATCCTCATCCTGGGTCTTGCGGCTGAGCAATGCCGACAAAAAGTGTTTTACTTCTTGAACTCCAGCGCGAGCCTCCAGCGCGAGCTGCGGCCGAGCGCGCTTTCAGCGACAGCTGTCACCCCAGCAACTTCGGCCTCGGCGGTCAGATGCTGTCTGTCACAGCTGTCTGTCACAGCTGTCTGTCACAGGCTTTGTCGAGGCTGTCTGTCGAAGGGTTCTGCCACAGCTGTCATGCGGCAAGGGCGGGAAGCTATCGAGGTGCGCAGCTATGCCGCGAAACCCCGTAAAATCAACAACCCAAAACCTCTGGGGCGGGAAAACACCAGCACGATCGATTCCCTAACATCCTTCGTTTCTTCGCAAAACGCCAATTTTGTGCAAAGCGCGGCTCCCCACGCTGATTGCTGAACCAAAGCAAACAACAACTCAACAACATACCATGAGAATAGCGGGAGACGTATTTGGATGCAAAATCCGCGAAGTACATAGGTGATGACATCATTTGGTTGTAGGACACCACCTCCTTTTACGCGCTGTGTAGTTCACCATGTTGCATTAACAATAAGGATTAGCAAGTAGTTTGAACAGCCATGGAGTTGTCTGAAAACAGAACGTCCTGTCTGCAAACTTCGGAGATGGCATCAATGGGATCTAAAGTAGAATCAGGTCAACATAGGTTGGCAAAGTGAGAAGCTATATCGGTGTGGGTCAAAAATATGTACCCAACGTGGAACCTGATAAATGGAGACAAGGGCTAAAATCTTTGGTTTACTCTGACCCATACCCATATCTTCATACTCGTTTTGTTTGTTGAGCTCAAACAAGGGCTGACTAGATGGATGTACCCTACTTGGACCCTCCAATGATTCGTCCCGTTTGGAGATTGATCAAAAATATGAATTGCCCGAGACAACTCCACAGTGAACTCTTCGGGACAAGTTGCAAGTTACTGGGCTCCAATGAAACTGTTTCTTTGCTACAGCTCAATGAAAACATGGCATCCTGTTTGGTCCATATTTTACCTGTCAAAAGAGATCCCAAATCCTAGTTCGGGAGGATGGCAATTGGCCCCTGGCCTCTGTTTGGCCGTCAAATTGAATCACTCATAACCGTCTGCCCATGGCCTGCCTTAGGCAAGACCAGGAGGGCCGGATCAAACGCAGGGTCGCCTTCTCCGCTCAGTAAGCCCATGGAAACGGAATGACCCAGGCACCACTCGATGGCTTCCTTTTCGGGTCGAGCGACGGAACCCTTCTTTTGCTTCAAACCCCGACCATGCCAGTTGGGCGCACTGGGGAGGTGCCCTGACTCTTTTGCTCCCCAAGTTGAGTCTCACTTCTCAGCCTGCAAGGCGACCCCGCCGGAAAAACTTGAAACATGCGCCGGGTTCTGGCGGTCGCCCGAAGCCCCGACATGCCTTGGGGAAGCAACTGGCCGGAAGACCAAGGCAAGTCCCCAAGCAGAGTGGCCTTCACACGAGGAAGCAGACCTCTGGGGCCTTTTCAAGAGGATGGTAGTCTTCCGAAGCCCTGTCTTCCAGGATATTGTTGGGAAGAGGCGGCATGCAAAATAAACACCCACGGCCCATGGTAGAAAATGGATCGGAAGCCTTTCAGGCTTGATCATTTCCGGAGAGCCCGACCAGAAGCGATGAGGGAAAGGGTGCTGAACAAGTTTGCACATGCCAATCAGTACCTGCGACCGGAAAGGACTTCATTGCGCCGGAAAGGACTGAAAGGCTCATCACGCGCATACACATCCATCTGGCAACCAAGCAAGAGAACAAACTGCATGTGTGATGCGGAGGGTCTAAGTGCGGAACTCTACTTGCCCTTCACAGGACACAAAGATTCCTTGCTGCAAATACTGATTGTCTCGCCGCTCAGGGGACTTTGGTTGCAAGCCACAATTAGCTGTTGACCACATCAATACTCACTAAGAGCTTGGAAGGACACGCTGAGGTATCGCTTCAAAGAACCAACTCCTATTGTTCAGCGTCCGAAGGTTTTCCCGACAAAACATGGAACAACTCGATGGGCCCCCAGTGCGCCCTCAACGAACAACGATAAATTCAGCTGTCCAAAGGACCTAAGAACAACAGGCTAACCTTAGGGGCCACTAATCATGGAACAAGGGGAAACTAAAAGGTCAGCTCAGGTCGATTCGATTTGGGGGTGAGACAAGGTACCAGTAAGTCCGTTCGTGGGGCGACGACCAAAAATGGAACAAGGGTACAAAAGGGACCATCTGTTGCCATTAAAAACATCCGCCAAAACTCACGGTTTTCGGTGCATCCACGGGGCTGAGGTCACCTCTTCGGGGCTGGTGTGCTGCCTGGCAAAATCCAAACTTCGAAGCCGATCCACTTTAAACGGATTTAAAGTCATCTAGGGGTTGAACAATATTCCATTTAGGGCCCCAAGATGACAATGGGTAGCTATCCCGTTTGGGGGGTTTCCCAATGATCATCCCATGCAAAGGACCCTTTGATCAACCCCCATCAAGGGTTGGGTGATCTGCCTTTATGCCACCCTGCTGAACTTGAGGATGTCTAGTTCATCCGCCCATGCTGCGTGCTGGGCATTGCGTCAACCGGAAAAAAAAGTGATATGCGCTCCCAAACTGGTCAGGAACTGTCCAAAGGACCAGGACAAACCTGGTAAACTGGTCGTGCATTGATTGCTTCATGCGGAGAAGTCTGGCAACAGGGCCCTTGATGGTTGACGACCCAACGCGCAATTTGGTCAACATCTGGTGATTGATCAATATTCCATCTAGCGGTTGGTCCATGGGTGGCGATTTAAGGTTCTTTTTTTTTTTTTGGGGGGGGGGGGGGTTTGGGGCTCCCATTTAGGGCTGCAGGTCTAGAAATTCGGCTTAGGGTTTACGTTTAAGATTTAGGTCTAGGTTTCGGACTTTGGCTTAAGGGTTTCCCACCTGCTGAGTGGATGGCCCAAACAAAGTCCAAACTTCATATCTACCACTAAACTGGTCTTCCCAAAAAGTTTCAAGTTCATGAACTCAGGAAGTGAGGTTTGGGTTTTGGGTTTCGGGGCCTTGCTTTACTGTTCGGCTTAAGTTTCGCTTTGGCCAGGCCGGGCGGGTTCTGGTTCTGGCCAGGCTGGGCGTCGCTCCGGGCAGCCGCTTGCAAAGGATGGGCATTGGCTGTCTATATGTATATATATATATATACATATATATATATATATATATTGGGCTGCCCGTTTTCCGATCCCCCGCTAACAGTGACTCACTTTTAGTGGGTTGAATGGAAACTACCACTAAACACAAAAAGGCTAAAAAGCTAAGGGGATGGCCGGAAGCCACCAAGCATATATATATATATATATTATGGGTGTTTTTGAGGGTACCTTGTTTTCGGTGGTTTTAAAGGAACACCACGAGGACAACCGATTTGGGGGGTCCAACCTTCAAAACGACAGACCCATATACTGCAGAGTGTTGAGGTCTTTGAAGAATGTCCAGCCAACTTCCTCCCGTTCGCTGGCGAACGAGGAGCTTGGAGCAGAGG